TTCGGTCGCTACCCGGATTCGAACCCGGGACCTTTGAATGAGAGGCCAACACCTTAACCTCTAGGCCACGAGAGCCCCCTTGTCTCACTTTACTTTTGGTACATGTACGAATTTTAGGGCATTAGCTACACAAATAGGTAGTAGAAGTGCCGAAGATTAGAGATGTAACAAAAGAAGAAAATAAAATAATACAAAAAACAAGAAGGCAAAGCGATAAGGACGATACATGTTTTAGTTTTTGTAAGAGTTTTACGGCACTAATTGCAACACAATATGGTCGTAGAAGCGCCGAAAATTAGAGGTGTTACTAGCGAGAAACAAACACAAAAAAAAGAGGAGAGATAAAGACGATAGATGTTTGATAGGAGAAAGAAGGAGCAAACCACACCAGAGCACCCTCCAACCACAAACCGATACACGTTTGACAGGAAAGAAGGAGCAAGCCACAGCAACACATGTACTAGATACTGTTTGAGCTTGTGTTTTCGGCCAAATGCAATTATAAGGTGAGAGTCTTTATGGGTGAAGTCTTTGATAGATGAGATAGCATCTTCATCCGTGGAGGTTAGAGTATATGTCTATCCGTGTATGTATTGTATGTCGTGTGCCAATCTATAATTTAAATAATCATACTCCTGTCTGTCTGCCGAGTGCTTATCTGTCGATCTGTCGATCTATCCATCTATCCATCTAACTGTCTATCTGTCCATCTATCCATCTAACTGTCTATCTGTCCATCTATCCATCGATCTATTTATAAATCTGTCAGGCAAAGTCCTCTTTATTTAAAAGAAGAGATTTTCTAACCCCACAATGTAAGGTCACTTCCGAAGTGCTACATTCATGTTCGGTGGAGCGATAAACTCGTACAGAATACGTGATTGTTTTTAAAAATCCAAAAGAATCTGTAAAAAAAATTCTGTCTGCATGCGGTTTAATACTTCATCTGATATAATATATTGTATTATTGCCAGCTTTTATCTATCCCTTTCTACTGAAATTCTTTTATGAAGCAATATGCAATTTAATCTAGATCTACGTTTGTTTTTACCATTCCTGTAAAGCCATGATTTTTTTTCTTTCACAGGGACCATTTAGCATAATATGAAAACAAAATAGAATTTAATTGTTACGTATTTCTATACCTTCACGTGTTTTTCCCACACCCGTTTTCTCTTCCTTTTCTTTGTTAGTTTGTTTTATTCTTTGTTTGATACGGGAGATTTTACGTTCTCATTGACCTATTTTAGAAAATTAGAAGGAGTGCTTCGGGTATGCCTGTCACAGCCAACCCGGGCTGAGAAGGATAGAACACTCCAGCAGGAAGACTCAATAAAAATTCTCCCAACTCGGGAATCGAATTCAGGTCTCCTGCGAGCGACGGTGAAGCACCCAAGCACCTACACCACAGACGCCGGTTCACCATTCCTGTCAAACCTCGAAAAATTTCCCACAGGCACAATGTTATAGTAACAACTTTTCTTATCTTTTAAAAACGTGTTCATCTCTACAGAGAGAGAGAGAGAGAGAGAGAGAGAGAGAGAGAGAGAGAGAGAGAGAGA